CTCAAATATTGATGACAATCTAAGACTTCCTGATTTTCCCAGACAGTTTCAAATATTCTCTTAGTAGTCAGAATAATGGTCCACTGTGAACTAATAACCACAACAGAATAGCCTTAAAGTTAGGATTCGTCCTTTTTCTGTATTTTGGCTTTTTCACTTTGAACCAGGCCCAGAATGATAACTGATTCTCAGAGAACATTTCTCTAAAAATATTCGACATTAGGGTTTATGAAACAAATATATAGTGTGTGGAGAAAATCCAAAGCTCTAACAATCCAAATAGCAATCACAGCATATCTATTCCTATGTCGAAAGAAAAGATAATAATAATAATACTTGTAAGAAGAAGCTGCTAATCCCTAAAGCCTCTGAGTAGAGTGGAGAAACCTGTGAGAAGAAATTAATAACTTTCAAAGTGTAGCTTTGAAAATTGAATTAATAAAAATGTCCCCCCTTTAAGCCTCTATAATGAGAAAGGTTTTATTTTTTTTTAACCTTGGTAAAATAATAATAATAATAATAATAAAAGCACAGAAAATATGCATTCCAATGGAGAAACTTCACAAATGTCATGCTTCAGTTCCTGGGCATCAGTGAGGAAGGAAGAGTCAGCATCTCGAAACTTCTCCTTATTTCTTCTATGTCTTAAAGGTTTTTTTTCTAACCCTGTTACTCCTCTCACTTTTTCTAGGCAACTGGAGGATAAAATCCCTATTGGATTTGGACCCTCCCTTTTCCTGGAACATACACTCCTACTAATCCTAACCCAGAAAAAAAATGTCATTGATTAAGTTCTCTGAGTAATATGTCATTTTCCAAACCAGTGGGACATCAGAAGTGGGGTCTTACAGAAAGGGTGGTATTATACAGGGCAGAAGAGAGAAGCTGCCTTGCATAAATGCTGTGGTCAGTTAAAAAGTGGGCCGTGTATGTTTAGGTCAACACCTTAATTAGGATAACTGGACCAACAATATAAACGCTAAACTGCACATCTCCTTCCTGGAGGTGGAATGAATATTCCTTAGCAGAGATTAGGAGCAAGTTGTCAGGTACCAGGTGTCAAAGCACTAAAAATCAATCCATCTTTTGGATTTCATATGCCCTCATTTCCTCTCCCAGAATGATGCCAAAAATGCTCATAAACACAGAAAAAAACATACTCTAGAGCAATAAGGGAGTCCCCAAATCCCAAACTCTGGGGTTTCCAGTGACATATCTCTCCTTCGCAGCACTCTTGTTAATTTCTGGAGCAAGAGAGAGAGGATGAATCATGCCCAATAATAATAAAAAAGAGGAAAAGAGAGAATCTCCTGTCTTTTTAAACAAAAACAAAGCTGTGTTTTTAATTTCTCAGGTTTAATTTGCACTAATCATTAGGTTATTACTAGTAGGATTTGGGGCCTGATGAAAGGGCCTCCTGGCCCCATATGCTTCTTTAAATAACTGATTTCCAACCATAGTTTTGCCTTTATATTAATATACGGCAGTTCTAAACAGAAAGTAGGCTCTTCCCCTGCCTACAATCGTAACTATGGCAATTCTTGAGGTGTTAATCAATGCATGCATTTGTTTACTCAGATATTTATTCAGCAAATCTGTTAGTGTGTAGACTAAGGGTTACTCCGGGACCCCCAAACTTACACATTCTAAAGAGGTTCTGAGTCCAATTCATAAAGACAAAGCATATCTTGTTGTGAAGGAACTTTAATAGGACGGTTGTGCATAGAGCAGAAAGAAGAGAAAGGATCTATTTGCCCACTGAAACACCCAAAGTTACCCAATCCCTCGTTTGTAAATGCCGAGCCAAATTGAGTTGGCCCCAAGCATGGCCGCAGACACCTGAAATCTTGCCACAAGGCGCCTTATGTCAGGAACCACAGGAAGGAGGCAGAAGGGGCCAGGCAAGTCTCGGACAAAAACAGTAAAATCAAAGTACAAATCAAGGAAATAGCAGCCATGGTCAGCACTCCCCCAACACACATACACACACACACACACACTGGTCTCTTCCATGTGTCTCTACATGTCTCCACTTCTTGTGTCTCTTCCAAGTCCCTGGTGCAAGTCCAAACCCAAGAAGCAAGCACGCCCTCTTCCACATGCCACTCTGCCCGCATGTCTCCCCTTCTGTGTCCTCCAAGTGTTCTATATCCTCACCTGCCTGCTCAGGACTGCCCCTCCCTAGGTGGGACAGGGAACGTGGAACCTCCCCTTTATAAGATGGAGATTCCTATGTTACAAAAATACTAGACACTGCACCAGAGGGCAGTGTGAGCTGAGGCTGCAGTCGTGAATAAGGAAGACATTGTCTCTGCCAGTGGGAGAGGATGAATCAGCTCTTTCTGATGCTCGTTGAAGCACTAGTCTTTTCTAGTATTAAATTCTTTCCTTATTGCTTCCTGTTACCTCCACATCAGGAGTTAATATCCAAATATAGGAATATAATGATTCCAGAGAATTCTAGATCTTTTTCTAGACTCCCAAAGTTTTGTCTATTGCTGCACTAGATTTATTTTATTCTTTTGGTGTTTACCTGTGAAGTGCTTTTGCTTTTACTGAAACAGAACACATAAAGAGAATATTTCCTGAAGGAATGGAAATCATAGTTTCTGGGTATGTTCTAATGAGAATGTCCAGGGTATCCCATAGAAATAATATTCCTGGCAAGGTGGTTTTATTAGAGATCATGAAATTGCCTTTGTATTATAAAAGGAAGAATAATTTTCCGTTTTTAAGAACCAAAAAGTGGTTTTCTTGTTTATAGTAAAGGAAAGACCTCTTTTGGAAGGGGTCTTTGAAGAAGGCATAAACATTTCAAGCTTGCTCTGACACTGAAAAAAAGAAATGTTTTCGTTTTTCTCACTGTTGCCACCTGGTGGAGAAAGATGATTTCTTTTGACAGCACATAGGCGCATACCTTAATGCTACCACAAGGTGGCAGCACACAACCAGGTTTTGGAAATAGCTGCACTGAACTAGCTCTTAGAGGACAGCGAGGGACAGGAACCCAGGCTTTGAGCCCCTTCTGAAGTGCATCTGCAAGTCCACCAGCAATCACCATACAAAAGAATGAGCACACTGGGCTCCCTCCTGCATCTGGCCAGTTTAGGGAAACTGTCCTTACATGTAGAAACAATTTACCTGTACTAACTGCCTAGTGAACACTAGTTTAGTTAATGCTGAGTTGTGGCCAAGTATTTTCAAAGCTTTTAAGATTCCAGGACAATTGTGCCATCCTTAGAGTTGTAGTAAGAGTGCCAGAAAACAGTCTGCTGCTGGAGGGCTTTTCCTTATGACCTCTTTTAGATTTGCAAATGAAAAAATCTGTAAAGAAGGGCTAGACTACACTGAGCCTGTCACTTGCAGAGCTGATCTTGAAGATTTGACCCCTTTGTACTAAATCAGAGACTAAAGAACATAGCTACCCAGACTCTCCATTGTCTTAGCGGAGTACCCACTTCTCTTTTAGGAGGCTGCTAGACGTATATTTATTTTGCTCACATTTTCAAGATCCTACATCTGTTTTGACCCCTGGAGCATACAGAGCGCTGTCGTGCATTTGCTGGATCACAAGAGTGAACAGTAACAGACTTGGGCATGAAACACGCAGTCTAGTAGTAAGGACAAGTGTCAATCAAAACATCAGACAAATATACCTGAAATTATAACTGAAATGAGTTCTATGAAGGAAAGCAGATTATAATAAAGGAATCCAAGGGTGATTGCCCTGTGCAAGTGATTATTACTGAAATTTGAAGAGTGAGTGGGATTTCTCATAGAGATATCATTGTGTCTTTGGCTGATAATGCATGGTACCCTGGGAAATAAAGAAAGATTAGTGGAAGACGTTAGATGACAGGTTTTGAGGAAGCCGAAGAGCTGGTGGGATGGAGGCCCATGGGAGCCAGACTGAGGATTTGGTCTTTATCCTGGAAGCCACAGGAAGTATGGAGAAGTTCCCAACAGGATGCTGAGGTAACCAGCTATCCAATTCAAAAAACTCTCTCTGGCTTCAGAGAGAAGCCTTCCCTAGTGAAAAAATGTTAGTCTGATGCAAGGCTATTTTCTTGCATGGGAGAAAATCTGTATCCCACAGCCACAGAACTGACCAGCCATCCAGTAGATCCTGATTTATTTCTTTAGATTTATTTCTAAAGATAGATTACTGCGGTTTACTTGATAAGGATTCTTAAAAGGAAATCCAAGATTTTGACCTGTAAACACAGACTAATTTATACCATTCAGTGGATGTTTGTTGAAAATATATTACATTGTGAGACTTAATCTAAGCATCAGGGACAATGGTTGACAAGATACACACAGTTCCTGCCCTGAGGGAGTGTATATTCTAATACAGGAGACAAAGTGTAAACAAATGCCTTACAATTAGCAAAGCAGGGTGAAGGGATGGGAAGTAACAGAGAGTGCCAATTTGATAAGGTCATGGCGCAAGTCCCTCCTTAGTGGTGACATTTCTGTGGAAATCTAATAGAAGTAAAGGCATGGACCATACAAAGACTTGGGGGAGGACCCCTCCAAGCAGATGAAATAGCAAGTGCAAAGGTGTTAAGTTGGAACAGACTTAGCATGTGGAAGCAGAGCATGAAGATCAAATGGTTAGAGTGAAGTAAATCAAGGACAAAGGGTAAAACAGAGTTGAGGGAAAGACACCTCTATGGTTCTACTAAATTTCAGTCAAGTTTTGTTTTACATACTCAGTTCTGGTACTTGTCTACACACATCACTTGTAAGATAAAGTATTTGTAGTTGCATTTTGGCTTTTGCCACCTCCAGCTGCACATTTGTTCCAGCAAAAGCATTTCTTTCCATATACTTTTCTTTCAGTCTTGCCAATATATATTCCTTTCGGAATGTTCTTCCTGCCTTTTCTCTCATTCTCCTTTCAGTGGAGAGTACCAGACTACCTTTGTGTTTCTTTTCCATTGAAAAAAGGTTATTTTTTTTATCTGTTTTTGTTTTGCTAAATGTTTCTTTTTTAGAAATTGGCACCACCGTGCACTTCAAGCAAAAAGGTATGGCTCTTGTTTCTGATTACCTTTTATTATGTATGTTAACATTAAGATGTCACAGTGATATATCGTGAATTTACACACTGGATTTTATATCATCTCAATCATTTGGGGTCGTTTCCATAATATATTTACTACAGTTTTCCCCAAACTTTGAACTTTCTCATTCACAAAAAGCCCCTAAGCCATGATCCCTGAATTGTTTTTGACAGTTACTCATTTTAAAGTTTCCTACCCCTTACTTGGTTTAAATGTCCATAGTTCATTCTTGCGGAGTGGCAATGACAGCCCTGCCCGATGACAGGGCTCCCAGAAGAGGCATGAGCCTTCTTTACTGTTCCTTGCTGACTTTTCAATTAGATACATTGTTAAGGAAAATAGAGCAAGGTTTCCTAAAATAGAGTACTTGAACAGGCCCTAAGTCCTCCTGTCTCTGCTTTCTCCCAGTTCTCCCTATAACCTCTCCCTGCTGCAGTACACTTGAGCTGCTGGAATCTGCAAGGAATTCTTTTCATGCTCTCCAAGCGCCCATATATCTCCTTCAGACACATCGTCCATAATCCATGTGCTTTTCTCTACAAAGACAATACAGTCAGGTCAAAACTTGATAACATGAACCTAAATGCAAACAATGACCAATTCTGAGGCACCATCTCTACAAATCCAACAAAAACCTCCATTGGTGTGTATCCCCAAACTAAGCCACAGAAGAACCTGCTTTTTCTGACACCAATCCCCTTTAAGTACTTGTTGCTACCCATTTGGATTGCTGATTAAAGACATCTTCATCTCTGAGCCTCACCTGGCATAATACCATCAAGGTCATTTTTAACAGTGAAGACCTATCCATGAGTGACTTAGGCTACTAGTTACCAGAACTCACTGTGGACATGTTGTTGCTTGGCCTGGAAAAGTCCAGCACTTTGTTTACAGCCAGTTCTCACAAGTACTCACAGAAGGCAGCGGGGAAGAGGCAACCAGAAATATATACATAGGACCAAGATCATTTGGGACAAGAAGGAATAAACCACTGTCCACTTTAGTGCTGCTTCTCTCACCAATGCCATGATTCTTAATTACATTTGACTCTTAAATGACTGTTAGTGGAATACCTGATATCGCGAGAATTTGATGTCAATGGTATAAAGCATAGGGTTGTTTTTTATTTTCAAAAAATATCAAGATAAATTTCTGGGTGCCACCAGAAGGAATTCTAAGTTTTCATCTAGAATTTCAAGATGTTGTATGCCAAAATATTGATACTGTTATAATAGAAAAGATGCGTCTCACTTTGTCGAGAGAGGAATATAATGCACAAAGACATAAGAGAAGCCCAAATTTAATTCTAAGACAAGTTGTTCAAAGAAAACAGTAATATATCCCCTCTAATCGGCTCCAGCCTAGAAATTAGGCTCCAGCCTAGTTTAATTCTCAATTCATTCCCCCAGAGGAAGAGTTACTGGCTGAAATTGGACAGTAGGTGGCGCCAAAGTCGGCGTTATCTGGTCCCTTTAACCATGGCTTCCTGGTAGCAAAAGTATTTAAGTCTGGCATCTAAATAACATTGAAAAAACATTTAGGATATTCTGAAGATTATTTTTCTCCTTTGTGTAGCAATTGTTTGTGTATTTTTTAGCTGTTTGTTTTATTTTCTGTCATTGAGTTCTTCGTAATTGTAAGAATTCAAACTTAAATGTGTCCTTTTTTTTCTTATATGACTAAGCCATGTGTGGGAATAAAACTAAGATTGACCCTGATTCCTTAGTCACTGAAAGGAGAGTCCAGGGATCATTGAAAGCATGGTTAATGACTATTTTAAATAAATCTAGTCCCAGATCCAGGAAATGAGCCCTAAGCAACTCAGGAGAAGCAACAGAAATGTATGAACAGACTTGAATCATGAAATCTCCAAGTGCATGCTATGTAAAGCAGGTGTTGAAAAATCACTTATCCTTTCTTTGAGATTTTAATGAAAGAAAATTAATTGGTGCAGAATCCAGCATCAGATTTCTAGTATAGAGACTTTTGGAAAAAATCCACATATCCCTGGACTTCAAGATGTTCTATCCATCTTGACCTTAATCTCAAATTCTCTTTTATAATAGAATCATTGTCATGGCAAAAGGTAAGAGTCCAACTTTGAGACAGAATCTCAGTATTTTGTCCTATAATTGAGAACCTTGATCTCGTGTATTGACAATAATTCCAATTTTACTGCAGCTGAATTTTTCCCCAATGGAGAAAACATTAAAATTGACCCAATTCACAAACAAATGGCTTTGATTTAGGGGTATTTTATGCCTTTCTGAAATCCAGACTTCTATAATTTACAACGATGACGCTACTATTTATTGACTGCTTGCTAGATACCACATATATGAGTGTGTGCACATACGCACATACAGAATGCAGCTAAATACCAAGATATGATTTGTGTCTATTAGATGGGGAAAAAAATGCAGCAAATTTTTGAATTGTGGTTCTATTTGCCCATCAATTCTTAAGGCTGATTTATGTTTGCAGACTCTTGCTTTCATTATATCTGTCAGTATATAAAAGCACTTGCTGAGCCTGGCCATCTGGTGTGGGAAATAAGATTTATCATTTGCATTTCCACAAATAAGCAGAAATTTCATAACTATGAACTAAAACATAATTAATGACTTTGCTGATTATTTTTCCCTAAAATAGCCATTAACTAAAGTAGTCTCCTATGCAGTCATATATATCTGTAATTGCATACACACTTGTGATGATTCCCCAACTATCCCCCATTTACCCTTGCATTTTTTTCAAGCCTATTTATTTACTCTCAAAACCAATAATGAAAAGAGCAAGTCATATAAGCACATCAAAGAGCTATATGAGAGCACTTAATAAATAATAATTGATAGAGATGAAGATATCTTTAACAGATCTACAAAATATATTTGAAATGTATAATAAGGATTCTATTAAGGATAAAATATAAAATTATTAGCATAGTCAAACCAGGATTCCTTATATAGAATATAGAATAGCATGTGAAAGTAAGAGTCAGTTCTCAATTATGTATATTAAAAGACCAGTAATATAGGTATGTGCACACATGCATATAAATTTATGTGTTTATAAACATGTGTGTGACATAATTCTCTGTATGTATGTATATACATATATATGCATTGGCAAGGATGTTATATGTGAATATGTTTATCTAGATGTATATATATATATATATTTCATTTTTCAATGATGGAATTTTTGCTTTCTCAAATATTTACTACTCTTCAAATAAAATGACAAGTCTGGGCTTTTTAGTCTTCCCCAGATACCACTCAACTCCAAGATGTCTGAAAGATAATCTAGCTTGTCCCAGCACTAAAAATGAGATTAAAGAGGCAGAATTAGACTCTCTCTGAAATCTTCTGTTTCACACTATCTCTATGGCAAAACAAAAACCATTTTTGCTTAACCTGTATGACCTCAATTTGTGCATAGTCGTACTGTTTTGGAAGCTTTGCTGACACACTAATCCAAACAAATGTGCCTTAGAGCTCCTGTTATCTAATGTACTTCTCAGCGAATTAACACATCAAAGCACATGGCCTGGGGCTTGAAGTTTTGGGAAGCTGTCATTAAGAAGGTTTAAAAGTCCCAAAAAGTCAAACTTGGTGGGGGCGGGGCATGGAGGCAGGGCTCTGGGAAGATCTTTGAGCCAAGACTCAGGACACCTCGATTCTAGTGCGAACCCACAATACTAACTGGGTGTTTTCTGGAAGCTTAATCATTTTGAACCTTAAATCTTCATGATAGGCCTGAGAGCTAAGGTGCATTTTCATCAGAAAACTAAGGGATGTATTGATTGAATATTTATTGCACATTTCCCTCACTTACCTATGATAAAATTCATTTTATACTCTAATTAAGTGGCTCAACATTTTATATATTTACTATTTTATATTCAGTAATATTTTTAATATTCTCAAGAAGACATTCCAATCAAAAGTTTCCATTGAAAATCATTTTTGCAGAGAGTGGATGCCCTCTTGTTTTTGTTCTGGCTCTCGTTTAAAACAAACCCACATTTCATTTATGGAATATTTGACATGACTCACTGGCATGCCTTTGCGGTGTGACTTCCCTGAGCAGGGATGATAGCAGAGACTGTAGAGTCTCTTGGATGAAAACGCCAACTTCTCCACTTACTGGCTGTGTAGGCATTTGCAGTGTGATTCAACATCTCTGTGCCCTTGTTATAGGACAGGGAGAGGGTCAGCCCAAACCCTGCAAACCTGCCTATTCTACATGGGTTCTGCCATCCGCCGCATCAACACAAAACATATAAGACTTTAATGGGAAGGAACTTTAATAAAACTAGGAAACAATACAGGTAAGGCAAAGAGTCTAGTTTCTAAATGAAGCACCCAAAGTTACCCATCCCCTCGTGGGTAAAAGTCCATCCATATGGGATCGGCCCAGAACAAGGCCCCAAAGTCTACCACAAGTCTAAAACATCTTCCAGTGGGGACCCACAGAAAAGGGTCACAAACAACTGGACAAGCCCGGAAGGAAAAGAGCAAAATCAACATCAAGATAAAAGCTGCCATTGTCACCTCCCCACAGGTCTCACCCACATCTGTGTCACCCAGTCCACGACCAAAAGACAAGCGCAGTTTCTTCACGTGTCTCTAGGCTCCATGCGCCTCCTCCAAGTCTCCTTGCTCCATCCTGCTTCCTTCCTCCGTCTCTTCCTGCAGCTTCTTCTCTTGCTGCTCAGCTCCACCCTCCCTTGGGTGGGGCAGGGAACCTCCCCCTTTCCTGGGGACCACCCTGTTGCACCCTGAATAGGATGTGTTGCAGTCCCAACCTCTTAGCATGGTTGTCTGCCTATATTTGTAAAGCCGTTATAACAGTCCCTTCTGGAAAGTGCTACCTAGCTGTTTGTTGGTTTTGTTTGGTATTATTTGTGTTATTGTTATGCTATTATTTTCCAAAAACAGATTAGAAGTCGATATGGCCCCTCTTTACCTCTGATCTGGTATGTGTGTTGGCAGATTTGGAAACATTCGCACAGTAGAGGATGTAACCATCATAGTGTTAAACCCACGTACACACTCATCCGTACACACTGATCTGCATAGGACCCCTCAAAACTACAGTGACCCATCATCACAGCCACATCAGTTTCTCATGCAAGTCATTGTCTAAGCATATAGTCTGAAATCTGAAAGATTTAGCTATGAAAAATACTAATATTTTCTTCTTTTAATGCATCTATATGAACAGAACTATATACAAAAGGAGAAAATGAATCAAAAAAGCATAGGAGACAAGCCCTTCAGTCAAACGTACATTTTCTGCCTAACCCTCTCTGTCAACACACAAATCCTTTCTCTACCTTCTGTTGCCTCCCAGTCTCCCTCTTGAACCCACACTCTCATCCCCCAAATCTGTCCACCTTGAGAAGACCAGGGTGGCAGCAGGAAACCAGCCACTGCAGACTGAGCTCAAGACAAGCTCAAGCCCCGGTTCTACCTGTGGTTTGGACCTGTGTCTTAACCTCTCTAGGTTGGTTTGTTTTGTGACTGTTGTTGCCTTTGCTTTTCACTTTTAAAGTGTCAAATAAAGAGTTTGGACCAGAGGATCCCTTCTATAATGTGTTGACCCCACCCAGCCACAAATGTTACTTTGACACTTCCCTTTAACAAATTAATAATTACTGCTGAGAAATGAGTCACAGCTTGGTTCCATGTTTTATTGATGGGGGTGCTGTGATGCATGGCTGCAGGACCCCCCCCCCCCCCCACGCCTGGGATATTCGAGAGCACTGGCAGGGCATGCGGGAGCAGAGCATGCACAGGGTCAGCCTGCAGCACCATCAGACCTGTCTCGAGGGCCAGGTTAGGGCCTCCTCTGGAGAGAGCTTTTTATATTTCGAAGTGTTCCAACCAACAGACTCCTTAAAATACTCATAATTCAAGGAGGAGAAGGATTTAGGAAAGATTTTGACCCTTTCTTAGGCTATAAGTACCCTGACTTTGAGGCTTCGGCCAAGTTTTACTTCAGATTACGTCAGCAATCAGCTGTCCCATGGTGGGCTCTGCATGTAACTATTCTCTTTTCTCTCTCTCTCTCTTCTGCACTGCAGGACCCGGGTCGGTGAGAGGAATAAACGGATCCATCAGTCTGGCCGTACCACTGTGGCTGCTGGCAGCATCTCTGCTCTGCCTTCTCAGCAAATGTTAATAGAATAAAAATTTAAAAATAATTTTAAAAAAACACACAAAATGCGTCACACAGGATACAGAAAGAAAGAGAATGAGATGGGGGAGACCGTTTATTTCACAACTTTGTGTGTTTATAAATGAAGGGGAAATAAGAAAACAAAGAAGAAAATACAACATTTAAAACAATTAAAATCCATCAATAAAAAATCTAGTATCATTCAGGGTGAAAAATTCTACCAGGAAATGTGTATATCTAAGCTAATGTATGCTGTGTAATTCTACATCACAGATGTAGCTAAGAATTCCAGATGTTGTAAAAATAAGAAAAGTGAAGAAGTACCAGTTGGATATTATTCCCCACATGCGCACACACACACATACACACACACACACACACACACTTTATCCTTCCTTCATCCTTTTACATCTGTGGGGAAAGAAAAAAAAAAGGTCTTGCCTTTGATGTTTCTATTTCCATCCTCTTTTTATTTGTTTTTCATTTGAGCTGACTCGTAGCCACTTCAGACTATGGATGGGCTTCATGCAGGAGTCCTGTGTTGAGCCTTTATCTGGTTTGCCACCACAATCTTTCCAATGTTTAAGACCACCCCCTTCCTTCCGAGTGTTCTATCTCCCCACCTGTATCCCAGATATCCCCTTTTTATCTCCACCCCCAGCTTCTCTTCACCCCACCAACCCCTGAGCTCTAGTCAGGCCGCAAATGCTAGGAAGTGCCATTTTAATTTTCTCCACTGTGCGTGCGTGCTCAGCTCTCTCGCTCTCACGTGGGTGTACATGTGTGTGAGTGTGTGTCTCTCTCTAAAGCATGCCAAGGTAATGGTCCATGTGTACATAGATTCATTGTGCTGTAGATACCGTCCCGCATTGTAATTGTGAGATGCGGCTGTGACAAGTTTGCTGGGGGAGATGGTGGGAAGGAGCAGGAAGCCAAGTTTCTCCCCCATCCTTGGTTGTCACATGACATCAATGTGTATTCAAACCAAGCAAGTGCCCCTTCCAAGGGCAGAACCTCATATTCCTCCTAATCTAATCATCAGAACCCAGTCGAGAGTCACTCAGAATCTCACTATAAATGAAAGTGCCTACTATTGATGGGGTGAGCAAACAGTAGAAGGAACCAGTGACGTGCATGAGGTAACCTAGGAGAGAAGGCTCCAGATTTCACTCTTGTTTCATGAGTCTGAAGGATTCACATAGCTCCTGTTTTTTGGCAGTCTTGGTTCTGCACCACTGCAGGAATGACTCGCATATATTGAGTATATCCCCAGAAGCAGGAAGGTCTCCAAGTGTGATCTACCAATGATGAGAACATGAGCCATGTGGAGACCCAAAGCAGCCCCATTTTGCCCCTCCCTAAACTTCAAATAACACTGCATTTGCCCTTTGGCTAGCCTTGAGCAGAGATTGTTTTCTATTTCAGATGAAATACAGTGAGAGCAAGCAAGGGCAGAAAAGTTAACAGCTGCTCGGGTCCATACTCATGGAGATACAGTCAGAGTTCTAATATAAGGCGTTGACCACAACAAAAAGGAATCCACTCCTCGTGTTCCTTTGCAGATTTCCTGTTGTTCTAGGCTAACAATTGATTTGGTTACCCACATCATCTCCTTTCAGCTCCACTGACAGTGTTTATAACACCATCGTTCCTAGCCGTTCATTGTCCTAGACCAAGCTACTAGAAATGGCGTGTTTTCACCGTCCCTGATTACTTTGGACTTCTGTTCTTCTGGAAAAGATACAGTGGGGGATATGGTGTTGAAGTTTACATCTAAAAGAGTCATCACATTAACTCTGAAATATGAGCTGGTTCCTTCACCAAAAGAGCCGGGAAGCTCCTAACAATTTAGGCAGGAATTACATGCACATCACAAGCTTGGCTTCATCACAATGTCAGAGGATTTTCTTAGCAAAGACCTTTCAGATAGAGTTGGATTTCTGTATGTAGATATCTTTGTCAGGAAACCAACCGTTATTTTCAGTAACACTAAGGAGGCATTGGAAGTGGCTCAGTTTACGAAAGAAGAAAAAATTATTATTGAGATCATGATTGAATGTATTTCAGCAGAGTCAAATATTTCATCAAAGGTTGAGCCTGGAAAATAGTTGTCATATGATAAATCACAAGAAACTTCATAACAGCAAGTCCAAAAGGGAGAAAGAAAAAGGTGGGAGAGAAAGACAGACAGAAGGGAGGTAACAAGAAATAATCTACAGTTTTTATTGATAGATTTGGTTACTTGAAGGCACTTTGCAGTGAGTCGCATCTTTGAGGGTAATGATGTTCTCAATGAGCAGCATTTGCATTCTCTTGTAGGGGATTCTATTTGTCCTAATTAATCTCTTAAGATTTGGCAATGTAAACATGAAACAAAGACACGCTGGGCTTGGGATGGGTAAGTGTAGTTGGGGCAGATTCTGGCATAGGACAGAAATTCTTATTTCTGAATGTGGCTACTAAAAGACTGGGAAGGTGAACCATATTCCTATGCTGCATCAATTTATTGACAATCAGGTATTTCTCTATACTTAGTCTTCCCATTTAAAATGGGAATAAGAGCTTCTCATCCTTGATGATAAAAACTCCCCTTATACTGGAGAGCTAGCCTCATCCTTAAGTGCAAGCTGTGGAGGAGTGCATGCTAACTTAAAGATGTATATGAAAAGAAAGTTACAGTTGTTAATTCACTTTAGTGCCAGTTTCAGAAATGAGTTCTTCTTGCATGTCATCAATTTTAATAAGACATCTCACTTTTTTAATTATCTCCATCTTCTAAGGCCTAGATCTTTGTTTTACAGAGGGAGAGTCTCCATTGAAAGAAATGTCTTTGTCATGTCAGCACCATTTATTCCTGATTTTTAATATAACGGACCACATACTAAACATAATTAAACATATATTGAATATTGTGATGTTTGCCTATAACTCTGCAGGATCTGGGCATTTTAAAACTTTGTCCTGGCTCCTGGTTCAGAGCAAACATTGAACCCAAAAGTATCATAGATTTGAAAATGTCTCTAAGCAATGTGGAGAATACAGAGCCTAGAGACTGAAAAAAGGCTAGTTAAAAAATAGAAGCCACCTAGATTGTCGCAACATGGCACTTCTTGGAATTTAGTTCTTTTTATTGTTATGGAAGCTTCAAGAATTTTGTCCATTGGAAATCAAAGCCTGAATCCCTGCACCGAATAAAAGTCAACTGGTTGGAAACAATTTACTGAGAGGAATGCAACGCATTGATAAATCTGAATGGTTAATATATTTAATGGCCTTTTTTTGTAAAATGAAATGCCACCATTCATTATACAAAATCCTTAGACACGACTTTTAGTTAACAAAAGCAGAAATGACCTTGACTGGGGATACTTACTGAAGAATGAGAACTATCCTAGATTATACAACTATAGAACTATATCCTCTGTGCAATCATTCATTAGAATTTTTTTGTTTCTTATTGGAGGAACATCTTACTTGTTTTGAGACATAAAATCCCTTTGCCCTAAAAAAAACAAAGACTTAAGGAAAATTCAATGTGTTTTCTGTGAGGAAGAATTATTCCATTGTCCTTTGCCTTCTCTTCCAAGTCAGGCACACTTCTTCCTTGCTGTGGGCAATTTTCTTTTTTTTTAATTACATAATCAGACAACTGGGGCTATTCATAGAGACCTTGTAAAAGTACTCGTGATTTTCATGTTCTTGGAGGACAGAAGCAAAATCTGTTTCTCCTCCAAAAGTGGACTTACCTCCTTTGCATACAAAAACTAAACTCCTCAGCATGAAATTATTTCTGAGTTATTACCTACCGAGTTGTTAGCTTCTTACCTTTTCCAGTCATAGGTTATTTCCCCAGGTTGGTTGTGGTTTCTCTGTTTCTATTGATCTGTCGCCCAAAATCTGTCATTTTGTTCTTTGTGGGCCTTGAATTATTTGGGGATAAATAATATATACGTGTATGTAATTTTTTTAATCTTATCTTTACAGATGCTATATTTACAATATTGTATGTGTTATAAGACAAATCTAGAATAATTGTTTAAACTTAAAATGAAGAGTACTGAATTTGGTTTAAAAAAAGAGCTTTGCTTCATTTAGAGAGATGTGGAGCCCCATTTTTTCCACTGTGACTAATTTTTGAAAGGAATTTGCTTATGAACTATTGCTTCATGGGATTAACCATGGCCTTATTTTTATCATAAGCTTTTTATCTTGGATGTAGTTTTAGTTCCCAATAACTATCATTTTTTTGTAGAAATACTAGTGTAAAGCTATACCTGACCTATTCTGAAGATAAATATTGAAAAGACCACAAAAATAGTGAGCTGAGACCTTGAGTTAAGAAATGCAAATCCAGTTTAGAAAGCCTCCTTCTTTCCTAACTATTTAAAATATTTCTCCCCCAAAGATTGCATTTGCCCCAGTGATGTAAATTTTCCATCATGGTTGGCATAATGTCTATAAACATCTCACTAAGTGCAAAATGGAGTTTACATTTATGTGCATGCTAGCAGAAGAGAAGTCAACTCTTCTTATTTGCATGTAGCTATGTTGTTAAATGTGGCCAACTGAAATTCAAGAATTTATTTTCACCCAGCGATATACATCACTTTCCTCTTGGCAAGGAAACTGGTGTTAACATTAGGTTTAGGCTTAACATTTACACCAGTGCAAATGTTTATGAATATTATGGAAAACTTATTTTAAAATCTTGATTTCCTCTCAGCACATTTACATACTGTGTGCTGATTAATAAATTAGGCACCAATCATGTGTAAATCAATGTAAATCACTAGTTTATATACATAATATCAACTATGTAAACTTCATTTTTCATGCAGGGCCAAGTTCAGTTAAATCTAGGAATCTCAAAGGAAAAAATCAAATAAAAATAAATAAAACCCAAAGCATCTCACAGATCAGAATGGGAAGAAGTAGGACAAATAGCGCTAGCAGGAAGTTACCTCATTAGAAGGAAGCAGGCCCACAGGAACTGCCAAACCTCACATCCTTCTCAGATCCCAGGAGGCCACCCCTTTTTTCCTTCAGGACCCAAGTGGGGTTTCTCCCAGCTGTTGCCATTTGCCTCACCCCAAATCAAGGGCAATGAAGAGACAGGGAGGGAGAAGTTTTGAGGCTCACGTGTTTGTTGTGTCAATTCCTGAGTATTGTTGCTTCTTACTTACCATCTAAAACATGTTATTTCAACAACTCCAAGGATGTCACTACACCTTGGTGAGCTAATAGAACTAATCCATTTTTATTTTCCGTTCAACAAAGACATTGGTAAAACTTCTTCGTCATCTTGATTCTAACAAATTGTGGAATATAAGAAATATTATATCCTTGAGAAATATCTTGCTAAGTCACCCAAGGAAATAACTACTTAATCTGGTAGACCTGTATTTCTATATAACCATCTCACATATTGCAAATGAGGTACAGAATTATTTTCAGAGGGAGTATCTCCCATCAGACATATTTTCTTAGAGTCTTTTTGAGGAAATTGGTGTGTGCCACAGCATGATCTATACCTCCTCTACAATCTGAAAAAGTGGTACATAAAAGTCATTGAAAAAGATGACCCCAGGGACAATGTCAATTCTCTGCAAGGACTGTTATAGAAATAAATGTGGATATTTAAAGTACACTTCTCTATCCAAGATAAATGGCACCTTTAAAGTGAGATAGAAAGTGTGCTAGAGGTGGAGTCCAGGGTCTAGCCCTGGGGCTGACCACAAGCAAGCTGTGTGACCTAAGGGAAGTCACTTACCCTTCCTGAGTCTTGGCTTTCTCATCCTGAAAGTGAAAAATTTTGATGATCTCTCTGAAACCTCTATCAGCTCAAAACTTTCTGATTCTGAAGTAAGAACTAAATACTCATGTAAGCCTGTGCCCAACTTATCCTTCCATTCATGTCTCTAGTCTGGTCTTTGTGCTGTCTTCACTTCTCACAACTATTATTTCATCATGTGCATTTCAAAAGTCAAAACTTCCTAGTTTAGAGGGTTCCTGGACTGGGTCTGTAGTTCTCTTCTGAATAAAACTTATTGGCAATATAGAGAAGGGACACATTCAGATCTTACTAACGATATTGAAATGACTAGGAATTGTTCCCTTATTTATAACATGAAATCTAACAGCTGAACTATATTCTAGTAACCTTTCACAGGAAGGAAAATATCCAGATTGGGTATCAGGCAAGTACTGAGGGGGGAAGTTGTGCATATGAAAGGAAGCATCAGTTTTCTCTCATCCTGGGCCAAATGCCTCCTTAGAGTAAATGTGTGTCCTTGGAAAGGTTTTCCTGGTGCTGATGGCAGTAAGCACGTGGTCCCAAGCAGGTTCAAAAGGCTGTTGTGTGAGAAAAGGGAGAGAGAATATATTTTACTTGGGAAGGAATTTCTCCTAAGTTTCACTAAGCCTGACTTACAGGCTGTGAAATCAAGCAAATGGATAGAGAGAAAGTAAGCATTGCTTTTTATAAGCACAAGTCAATAACATTTAAAGAAGACACATTGAAAATGAGATGAGAAGACACATATTGTAGGGGATTACAGAGCTGAAGATAGTAAGAGTTGCTAGGAAATCCAAAATCAAAGTGGAAGTCAAGTTTTCTGAGAAGAGAGGAAGCAGCAAGGATGTTTTCTCAGACAGTTAAGGAAGAATTACGTTCTCGAGCCACATTCTGGATGGATGGAGCTCAGGTGCACTTGTCTTGATCCATCAGAATACATCCCCACACTGTGCTTAGCATCTGTCAAAGGTAGCTTTTCATTCCTTAGAGAACAGAAAGAATCTGAGTATTTTGTCCACTGAAGAGAAGGGATTATTCGTAGCTCCCCAGCGTATTTATCACTTTATGTAGATAAGGCTATACAGTGTACTTAGATACTTAGGAAGCTCTCAGTAAGGGGGAAGAACCACCTGCCATAGGACAACCCCCCCACTTCATGGTCATTTCAGAGGTGCCTCTTTTTCAGTGGTGCTCCTGGACCTCCTCTGACAGCTACATTCTCCTCTGCACAAGCTCGCTCCATGTAAAGCCAGGCACAGAGTACAAATCTGCTTCTTGCAAATGAAGAAAATACATGGAACTCCTAGCTACCTGGCATGCAGCAGGAATTCTAAGCTCTCCGAAGCCCTTTTCAACCCACGTCCATGTCTTTGCTCCTCACCAGAGAACATAAATGGTTCATCCAGGCAAACTGTAGCCAAACATTTATTCCCTGAGTATTTCCTGAGAATGGGGAAGGTTAAAAGGGAGGAAACCACAGGGAGAGAAGGCCGGGGAAAAGCCTCCAACTTGCTTCCCCTACCACTGCTTCACCCCTTCCTTCTCACTGCCCTACTGAAGGGTGTATAAATCCTGCTCTTGGTTAGAATTCTCCTATTAACAGTGTTATATACATATAAATATATATAAATATATAAATATATTCCTTTTTTTCAGCCCTGTAGACATAAACTGAACTTTCCTTAATGATACAAACACATGGCCATTTTTTGTTTGGGTTTTTTGTTGTTCAAGGTTCTTTATTCTTGTTTATTGGGTGGATTTTTTTCCCTGGACACTAGCTCTGTGAAGGAAAATAAAAGCGCAGTGTGTGTAAAAAAAAAAAAATTAAAATTATAAAAAGCTTTTTTCCTTTTCTTTTTAAATGTATTTAAATTCTGTTCCTCTCTTCTGTTACTTTACACGTATGAATGCTCTGCTCTTCTGTGATCTTAAAACAAAATGAAATAAACGTGAAAAGGAGACTCGTTGACCTGAGTCAGTGATCTTGTGGTTGACTGCACTACATTCTGGCTGAATGGAGGTTTTCATGAATAAGATAGGAAATGAAGCCAATGATACTGAAAATCATGTAGGAAGGGGTAGACAAAATACTAAAGAATCTACTCAGGTTCTCTATCAATGTCTCATCTATCACAGAAGGGTACGTGGTATTTAAAATATTTTTCTTCATCTAAGCAAAGAGTTTCTCTAAAAGTTTTCCTTTTTTCTCTTGTAAGATATCATAAGAAATAACCACAGATTACCTGATTACTAGATAAAACAATAAGTTTTAGAACATGATTCCAAAAAACATTAGGATGTACACCCTTTCTTTAAAATTTCCATGATAGGGGTTATCTTTTAAGGGTTCATTTTCATAAGATCCCATCTGACAGCAGTAGGAGGAACTGAATTACATTTTAAGGTCCCGTTATTTGTACTTATGAAAAAAGCAGCTTGTCTTTCCTTCTTGCTGAGAGCCAGTGTCTTCACAAAGTATTTTCAGAATTTTTAAAGAATTCCTTTAGCTTTGCCCAGGACAGACAGGAGATGGCAAGAGAAAAAGGAAAAGAAGCAATCTGCAAAGTAAACAGGTGAGGGTGAATTGTCTAATTGAACATGAGCATGACTGGGAGGGTCTGAATTTGTCTCTCGGGAGCCAAATTAGATCCAGAAAACCAAAAGAATAGATCTAGGCGGGGCGGGGCTGGGGGGTGGGGGGAGCGGTGACCTGGGGGAAGGCTAGGGGTGGGAACTTATCATCAATTTCAATAAACAGCAAAGGGTCTCAGAAGCCATATCCTGGGTCTCTTGTTTAAGGAGATAGTTTTAAAGACCAGGCTCCTCAAATATGAATTTTATATAAGACTCTGAAAATGTTCTTTTTCTATGGATTTGACAAACCCAAGTTTAAAGATACAGTCCTCAAACAAGATAGTCCTTACTTCAGTCAAGTTCTGGGTCTCAGTCCATCCTGATTTCTGATCAGCTAGCTACAAATTCAGGGGTTCCCACCATCCTCTTAGATATAATAATTTTTAAAACAACTCTCAGAACTCAGGGAGGAGTTATACTTATGATCTCAGCTTTCCTATGGCAAAAGGAAACAAATTACAAACAGTCAAAGGGAGACATGCACAGAGCAAAGTTTGAAAGAGTTTCAAATGTGAAGTTCTCATTGTCCTTTCTCTGCGGAGTCAGAACACATTATTCCCCCAGGATGTAGGTATCTGACAAAGCATAATGTTGCCAACCAGAGAAGCTCACTCAATAGCTTTGGTAGAGTTTTAATTAGGGTTTCATTTCATACACCTGATTGACTGAATAACTGCCCGTGCTACTGAACTCAATCTCTAGGCCCTCTCTCCCCTGCTGGGCAGTCAGGCTGATATCATTATCATGTGCATCAAAACCCCAGTTCTTGTATGCATAAATCAGCATATCTTTTAAAAAAAGAAAAACCACCCCAATACTCTAACCAGTGGTCTGGTCTTTCTGGCAAGGCAGGCCTTATCCTGAGTCATCTCATAGGCATAAACCACCTGGGGGCTGTAGGGTAAGTGAAAAAGCATCAGGCTTTTCTGCCCTCCCGCCATTAGGATAGATGACGGAACCCTGTGGTCCTGAATGCATGCCTGATGGCCAGCACCTGGAGTAGGGTGTGGGTATAGGTAGACGGGATTCACCTGGGCTAAGACTGGGCTTTTAAGGGCGGTGTCACGGGGACACCGAGAAGCAGTAGAGAAGAAGCAGAACCCTGAGAAGAACCATGGAAGAGCAGAGAGCAGAGACCACCAGAGAAGGTCAGAGAGCCCAGAAAGAGTGAAGACTTGCTGGGGGCTGGGAGGGCACCCCTTGTCTGCTGTGTACCTGGTAAATCCCAATAGAAGCCTGCAAAATCCACTGAGGGCTCCAGGACGGACTCTTCCTTTATCCCGTCTGCTTGGGTCATAGAAAACCTGCCCTGTGCCTTCCTGCCCTCTACAGGGGCCCACCATGAGGCACCACCTCATTTGCAAACTACCAGGTATGGTCCAAGGGAGGCCAACACAAATAGCAAAGAAATTATTATTACTTGGAAAACACCAAAAATGTTGAGGTTACCCCTCAGGAACTAGAGACAAAAGTTAGCCAAAGTGTTCATTATATGCCTGCCATTCCTGATATTGTTAAAAACCTCTTGGAATCTCTGATAGCATTGTCCCCAAATAGCCTGAGCATTATGGGCTACAGAGTACTCAGAGTTAAAAAGTTCACATGACTTTAAGATTTTGCTATTATTAGTGTCTCTGAAGAGAAATATTTTCCATTATACTCCCACCTTCTACCCCCTTTAAGTTCATCTATATAAAAGAATGTGCAAAACCACATAGGTGAGCTGAAAAGAAGGTGGGTCTGTGATCTAATGTCCTAAGGAAAGCCTGTTTTTCCCCCTTGTGATCCTTTCACACCTAGAAAGGTGAAAGGCTAATGACTTAGCAAACATTTGTCAAAATTCATCCAACATGTGGTTGTTGCTCCTACTAGCAGGGGAAAACACAAGAGGTGACCCCATCAGAGACCCAGGGATTGGGAAATGATATTGGTCAGGGTAAAAGAAACGGGGCAGTTAGAGCCCACAAGATGCTCCAGTTAGTCATCAGAGCTCCCAGACAATTTTCAGTGAAGGCATTGACAGCATTCTCCCAGCTTCCATGCTTATGGACTTTGTCCATAGCACCCCCCCCATTGTATTAATATTTTACCCCAAATCCTTGGAGCATATCTCTGTCTTTTTATTAGCATGGTTCCTTGACAATTAACATAACAAGTACTGCTGAGTTTTTGCCTTATTCTTAATATGTAACCTCCCAGGCTCTATACCAATCTTGAGAATGCATACCCTTCAATACTTCTGTTCACCCAAATGAATTAATATTTGAGTAAATTCTGAAAGGAAAAAAAAAACTCCTAGCACTAAGAAGACTCATTAGGGAAAGTGGAGAACAACATCTGGACAGAGGTAATTTCTACATTCCAAGTCAGTTGGGTTGAATACTTGAAAACTTTCAGTTTAAACAGTCCCCACATCTGGCCAAACTCTCCACTCAGTCCTTCTCCAGCTCTGGCCAGCTATACTGCTCTTAACTGACTTAGCAATACCTGGAGAATTATGTAGCCCATTAAAGTAAGTAATGAGTTGGGCCTCCCTAGTGGCACAGGGGGGCTGAGCGCAGCACTGTAAAGCTATCCACAGCCTCTGCAGCACAAGTTCAATCCTTGGCCAGCCAGGGAGAGACCCACATGGCACAGCAGACCTCTCCTGTCTCACCCACTGCTCCCTTCAGCAGTGTATTTCAGTCAGTCTGCCTGTTCTGTTCCCCACTCTGTCTCTGCTGAATCCTCTCACCCTCCCACACCTCTGGCCTATACCCCAGTTCTTGTATGCATAAATAAATAAATGTTTAAAAAAAAAAAGTAATGAGTCAAGAGGAAGTCTGGCTCATGCCCACAAAATGCATGTAGGCAGGCTCGCCTGAGACATAGACATTCCGCTTTCCTACCCTCTCTCACCAGCAGTTGTTACAGGGCAACCGCAAAGGGAAATGGGACGGCCTGGCCGTGAGTCTCACCCACATGCTTAAGAAAAACTCAGAACAAGACCCAAGGGCAGGCACAGGAGGGAAATGAAAAGAGGGGAACAGAGAGCGAGAGAGGGGTATATAGAGATTAGTGGGACAATACATCCTACCAGCAACACTGCCTGAGCTGGGACCTGGATGCCTGCCAAAATCAGGCAAAATCAAGTCCCCTACAGTCCCATGCCCTCCCTTTTCTATCAAGCACAGCTGCTTCACTTCATACCCGGCAATCCCCTTCAACAAGTCAAGGTATGACGAGAGTTGTAATTCTAGGAGCCTGAGATCTCTTTGGCATGGAGATGGGAGTGGAGCCCATAAAACATTAGTGGGTGGAGTTCATTCGGGACATCCTGTGCTCCCAACACAGTCATGTTTTAAGATTTGGAAAATTGGTCTCAGGGTATAACTAATGAGACACTTTGGAAAGCAGCAGAGTTCTCACAGAACATCATTAATCCTTTGTTTTACAAACACTGTCTTCCACTAAGAAAGTCCAAACAAGTCTTGTTGTCAATAAGGCTTCTTATTGATTGGTTCCCTCTTCCTAAGTAGAAACATCCTGGCATTTCCTCCTATTTCATCCTAATTGTGTACTTTCAGGAATGCAAGATATTTGGCTATCAATTCATTGGACTGCCAAGGACCTCAATTAACCAATTCTGCCTCAGATCCTAAAAGGATATTGAGAAGAAACAGAAGATGAAAACAAAGGAGAGCTGCTTTCCATATAGGCCTGCAGTCCCCAGGCTACCATGAACAGAAGCCATATGGGCTTTTCATTGCTCTTCCTAAACATAACAGATCTGAACTTGAATTAACTGGAATGGGCAAAAAAAAAAAAAATGAGTGTGTGTTTTTTTTTTCTCCTGTTTAAATCACCCTAAACAGACAATAGGCTCCTGACCTTCCCAAAATCCTTTTAAAAATAAGTAAGAAAGCAGACATTAAAACAAAAATTCCTACTGGATACAGTAGCAGCTTTCATTAACATTTTAAATGGTTATATTTAATGGTACATTTAACTAAAGCTAACTTATCCATGAGAAAAGAATGTGGCCATTAAAATGGGCATCTGTTGAACAAACTGAGGCTCTGCGTTCAGTGATGCATGATTATAACACCAAGAATATTACATGTTACCAGCAGACTCATTAGCATTAATTGCTGCATTTAGTCCTACTTAAAATCCTCTGTATATGTAACATTTGCTAAATACGTTATCCTTTTTGAAATAAATACATCCTAAAATATTATCTCATATGTAACAATGGAATGAATTTGAAAAACTGGCACATGTGATATAGTGATGAGAAGAAAAGAAAGCTAATGATGACATCTGTAACCTGTCAATTTGAAGATAGAAA